GAGTCTCTGATAGGACCGTAGCTTTGCTGGAGACCCGGTGACAGATTCCTCATTGCAGCAATCACAACTCAGCCTGACGCATCACCTGAGTCCAGGCAAAAGTGAGTATCCACGCAAACTAAATCAAGTTGAATCGGTTCAACAGTAAACCCATGATACCGATGCAGGTGTATCAACCGAGTGAACATATGCAACGCGAAGTCTATAACTCAGAAACCGATCAAGAGGGTCTCCTGCAGCATATCGTACTCCTTCCGTATTGATTGTATGTAGACCTTCATTGTCTTCTCTACGACATATGACAAGAACTGTGCTGATTGACGTGCGTGAAAACTCATTTCCCCCAAATTGCCAACACCTCAAAATACATTACAGGTTTAAGAAAGCTTATCCGAGAGGGAGTACTGTATTTTTCAAAAACGCACAACACCGAGTTGAGCACTATCAGCATCACCGGTCCGCCTGTACGTCTACTGCCTTATCAGTTATACACTCGCCAAAAAACCCAACTATCATTAATGTGACGGCAGCAGTTGGGTTCGCTGGAAAAAGCCGGACACATGTGCGATCACATAGGATCTGTGTTTCGTAGGTAAGTATTCCACTAAAACAGCCGAAATAAAAAATGTCAGTCACACTTGGCGAGAGTGTGGTTGAAAGGGGTATGGTAGAGAATTGGGACTCGTGTGTATTCTGTTCCTAAGTTTCTCAAAATGCAACCAATTTAATCGATGGATTGGCACCAGAAGACAACCCATATTACTACTAATATGACTGTGTTTAAATCGATTACAGACTTGGACAGAGTAGAATATCTTGTGGTGTGATGAACTGAAATATGTTTGCTTTATTCGACATTTACTCAATCAAATACACCTGCTTTGACATCTCTCTGGTATACATTGAATCCTTATAAAGTAAACTTCTGAGCCCCCTCCCCAAGGAAAAAATGGGACGCTTTCCCTGAAGATAGTATTTTTATTGTTCCAGAAATATCTGAACTACTGAGGAGCTGGTATCTGTTTCCGGAAGAAGCACAGTTAGGTGGCCGATTTGGAATCGATGCTGAACGCACGGCTAACGGAGAGCGGCTTCTTCAGTTGTGTGCAGATCATCGTCTGTTCCTAGCCAGCAAGAACCGCCAACCTGGAGACCACCTACCACAAGACGGTTGTGGACTCCGTTGGATCATATGGCTATCAGTTACCGATGGAGAGCCTCGGTTAAGGATTGTCGTTCATTCTGGGGTACGCAACTTGACTCTGATCACGCCATCGTGCGGGCCCGCTTAGCACTTCGCTTTCCGCCAGCACTACGCGTGCTGAAAAGGAGAAGCCCTGTTCATCAACTTCGACAAGTTTCAGTAGCTGAAGGTATCGAGCTACCGGAAATTCACAGTCACGTGGATGACGAAGATTGCTTGGAGGATGAATGGAGGCGAGTTAAAGAAGTAATGCTGTCAGCTTTCCGAAATGTTTGTCCAGCTAATCTGACTAGACTAAATGAACACTGGATATCTTCGAGATCAGCAGATCTTATTGCTGTCAGAAAGGTCATACCAGCAACTAGCGATTATGATGGCGCAATCAGATCCCTCCAACACAGAATAATCAGGAGCTTGAAGAATGACAGAGAACGCTGGTGGATTTCGAAGACCAAGGATATGGAGAACGCTTTTGCTGCAGAAAACAGCCACACCCTGTTTCAACTGATCCGATCAACGGGTCAAAAGAAGACAGGGGTTAGTGAGACAATATGCGATGAAGACGGAACAGAAATTCACTCCCTCAACCGCCATCTTGAGCGGTGGGCTGAGCACTTTCAAGTTCATCTGGTCTCCTTCAACACAATCGCTGGAAGAACCAAGCGGGCCGGAATGGAACAAAGACACCAACTCACCGTCACCAACCGAAATCCAGCGTGAGGTTTCACCCCCAGATCATGACAAGGCACGTGGTTCGGATGGTCTATATCCTGCGATGTCCTGGTAAACAGTCTGACAACCATACTGCAGAAGATTTGGAACAAAAACAGAATACCAGCCTGATGGAGCACCTCGACCGTCATCCCAGTTTCCGAAAGAAAGTCAATTGAAGATCATCGTGGTGTCAGCCTGGTATCCGTCACATCTAAAGTGCTCCCTGGCATTATTTTGCGCAGGTTAATGGATTATCGGGAGAGACAGATTCGTAAGAATCACGCTGGGTTTCGCCCTAGTCGAGAATGCATCGACCATATCTTCATCTTGAAACAAATCCTTCAGACGTCCCACGTTGGTCGTTTTTCTGGATTTGAAAGCTGCTTTTGATTCTATCGATCGTCAGCAACTTTACCAGTGTCTGGTGATCAAAGGTGTCCCTTCCAAATTTCTCTCCTTTACGAAGGCACTGTATGTGGGTGCTTATGAGTATACGGCAAGCTCTTATTTGAGTTCACCATGCCTAGTGGTGTACGACAAGGTTGTCCTATTTAACTTTGTTATTGATATGCTGCTTGAAATCTCTCTGCCTGTCCATAAAACCTCAGAAGTCGGAATGCTCCCGGGACGTCCCCTCACAGACATTGAGTATGCAAGCGACACCGCTCTCCTTGGTTCAGATCCTTCCCAAATGCAAACGATTCTAAATAACCTAAATAACTCTGCCGCACCATTTGGCATGTGTTTCACATTTGCAAAGTGTAAAGTGCTATTACAAGACTGGGTGGGATCAAACCCACACCTCATGCTTGCAGGTGAGCCAATCGACGTGGTAGATAAATTTGTTAATCTGGGCAGCAGTATAAGTTCCGGTGGACTGACTGAAGATATCATTTCCCAAATCGGAAAGGTCAGAGCAGTGTTGTCAACCTCCGACACCTATGGCGCTGACTTGACGTCAGTTTGTCTGTCAAGGGAAGAGTTTACACTGCAATGGTGCAACCCATACTGCCTGGTGGATCAGAGATGTGCTGCCTACGCACAGAGGACATACGGAAGCTGCCAGTGTTTGATCATCGGTGTCTCCGAAGCATTGGTCAGGTTTGGTGGGAACATCGGACTGGTAATGCTGCGGCAAGCCAGATGGTCTTAGGTAGAATGAACTCTCCCGGGATAGATGAATTACTCACGCTTCATAGGTTGCGCTGGTTGGGACATGTTTTCCGCATGCCAGAAGGCATTCTGCCTTAGAGAGCCCTTTTTTCAGCTCTGTGCTGAATGGAAGTGACCGAGAGGTGGATTTAGCAACCAAGTACGAAAACACCAACCAGTCGGGTGGGCAACTTCCGCCTTCCTGGATAGGGACTCCTGGACTCACATCGCCAGTGGTAAATGACATTGGCGGGAATGGCCCAATCGCGTGGTCAGCGGCGCTCGTGCTTCAAAGCTATCGCCTTCAATGGGTAGCTACCCAATTTCCGAACAAACCGAACAGTCCTGCGCCTCCAAGCCTTAGTTTCCCACTTTCCCGTTTTCCGGTGATCGAAACTGTGGCAGCTGGAACCAATGTGCATATGGTACACGGGTTATAGCTTACAAATTGACGGATTGGAATGATTCGCAAAATAATTTAGCGACATCATGGCGCAAATTGATTTTCTGCACAGTGGAATTAAAGGCAAGGTCACCGATCAGTTGTCCCCGATGAGAACTTTTCTTGGGCCGCTTCAGACGGAAAAGCAAAGAGGGAAAGCAAAGACATGGATCGAAGTCAGATTGCAATATCCGAGATAGACAACAGAAGATACACTGATCCTGTGACTCAATAGCCCGAGTTATAATCCGGCCGCCAATCCTCTTTTATTCTGGAAGTTTCACTGAAGCCAATGACCAGAGAACCTAACCCACTGAAGTGAATAGGAGGGAGCTGATCTAGCTGGAGGACGCCGCAGTAAGGGTCGGTCCAGTCGCAACGCCGCTGAGAACAGCAGGTTAGAAAAACAGCACCGGGCCCCTGGCTTTCGTAATAGTTCGATTGCTAGCTGACGCAGTGGCACACACGGTCAAGTGTTGAAAGTCCAGAAGGCGCAGATCTTAGGAAAGGCTCTTTCTGCAGAAGAATACAGTTCGTGCGAAAATTCTTTTCGCTGTGTAAGGTAACGACCATCCAAATTTATAAACCAATACTTTAAATTCATAATTCATATGATGACGGGAAACTACACAGTGTATGCCCAGGTCATGTGATGATTAGGATTTCCTGGGGGGGCAGAGGCCTTACTTTGTTGATCAAACAGCTAAAGCCAGTCCTCTGTTCACACACACACACACACACACACGATTGTGCAGTTTTCTGTTTAAATTGGGGTCTTGAATTTTGAATACTGATTTGTATGCTTGTTTAGTCAGCACCTATGTGAAACCTACTGCACTTGACAGGAGCGCTGGCAACGGTACCACCTCGTGCATATTCTCACCTTGTTCTGTTGGGATTCAAACTGGTCTTCGATGAGAGGAGGCAGTATAACTGCTCCCGTAAATACGGGAACGCTAACTGCCAGAAAAAAGACTTAGAGTACTCACACTCCCTTGTCATATAAACCTACCTCCTTGCTCTGATGTTGCTTGTATTGGGAAGAGGTTCGTTCCTTTTTGTTTGGCTGCTTCCCATTAGCCTTTCTGGCCAGCCTTCGAGCCACCATGGCCTACAGAATCACTGCAGCACCAAAGCCAAAGCGCCATGACAATGTGACAGCTTTCAATAGAAAATGTTCAATGTATGCAGTCTGGTGCTGTTTGTGATGGAATGTTCTACATACTGGTACAGCTGCGAACAGAGTGAAATGGCGACCGTCGACAGGACAGCGAAAAGCAAATTATCTTATGTAAGAACGAACACGAGTGATAAACTTGTTCCTTTCTTTAGAAATTACTCCAGGGTGGTGCCACATCTTACAGGTAGTTAGGCCTGTTGCACATCTTATAAAAACGATGAACACCTCAGAAGGAACTGCAGGAAATAACAAGATAACTACTATGTAATTCCCGTGTAAGTGTTAGTGCTTCGTCTGACTCCTCTTACATGGCTTTGGTTAATGAGGTTCCCCTATTAGCTCAAACTGTCATGAAGCCCCATGCCCTCGAAGAACTAGTACACAGTGATCTTAATGAGTGCTCAGAGCAACAGGTATGTTTGCATATCAGGACATCCTCCTCAAACCAGTGGCGCGACAGACAGGTACCACACGGTAGTATCCACTTTAGTCCTCAGCAGGTTCCGACAGTCCGACAAAGTAGCTTACAAACAAAGCATACTCGTCTCTCAATTTTTTAGTTGTTCATTCACCGTTGACTGGAGTGACTTGTCTGGTAATTGTTGTTGGGGGGAAGTACGATTTTGCTGGCGTTGTTCGACAAAATTGGAACTCCTGTCTTTTTAAGTGTGCGTTTCTGTGTCCAGCTACTGCACAATGGGGCGGTGGTGGTGGTGGTGATAGAAGTACAGTAGCCAAACGGACCGCGACTGCCATGGCGACAAAGATTTGGCCCAATAATTGTACATCCGAGTAAATTAACCGGCTATGGCTGACTGATCATTGAAACCAGTATACTAATCGCTCAGTGCTCTACCAAATCGACGTTTTGTTTCTAGGATGGTTGTCAAATTGCTGTTTTGCACTCAACTTCTTACCCCTACTCACTTAATAAATGAAAATAAGGCTTTCTCTTTGTGTTTGGTAAACCGACCATGTTAGCTAGCCTTACACTCGCCAGACTACTTGTGCTGTTAAAACTTGGATACAACATTTATACAGTTATGTCGGTGCATAGTATCGTTCAATTAAAGTAGCTTCTCAAGGGGGTTGCAAAAGGATTTTTCAAGAACATGAAACCCTACTTCAGAAGTATCTCAATGTATCTACTCACAAAAGACATAGAAAACCATCACTTTTCTATATCAACAAGCGTCGCTTGACGTCATCAGCCAAATCATGTTATTCATTGAATGAAATAAAGAGAATATTCGAAACAATAATTTTGATCACGCTACCCCCTATACAGCTTCACAGCGCTGTGTTTTTCCGCCATCCCGAACCGGTTCTTTCCCTACAACTCCACACACTAGTACTGGTGGTCTTCAGCCTTCCACAACACTTTGATATTGGCCATTACGAATACCTTCAGACAATTCAACCCCAACTCATAATCTAGTTAGAAGCACTGAGTTTTCACTATATGGGATGAATGTGCTGTGCTACTCATAAGTTGGGCTCGATCTGCTCGATCACTTGATCCGATGTTTCAGATCCGAATACAGGCTTTGAAAAGACTAAGGCGTTAGTCGCACTTCCTTTTTGTCTGTACCTCCTTGGTGAGCCAGTGACTGTTGTGACCAGCTTCAAGCAATTGGGCGGTACAATAATTGACAGACTAGATACCTTTTGATAGCTGGTTGCGAGTAGCTTTTTTAGTAGTATCTGAAAAATCGTGAAGAAGACAGCTTACTGGCTCATGTGACTGTTTGTCTAACAAAAAACCGTGATCGTATGTGTATGTCGCTCTAATTACCTCCAATATAGTGGGCTTTACCGGAGCCGTTGTTTCACCTGCTATTTGTTGCTTTCCAGAGCTATTTCCCTGCATTCTTAACTTCCGAAACAAGCAAACAGACAAAGATAAAGAAGCTACTGGCATTCCCATTTGTATCTGGTGTAGGTTAACAGCTGATCAGCACATCTTACATAAATTCAAACCATGCGCTCTTGCGTTACGTTACCTTATTCCCGCTGTTATGGAATAGACACGATGCACACCGGTCTAACAGGTGGGTTTGTGAGTCTGTAACTCATGAAATTTGGTAGGAAGATTGCCCATAACCCGTTTGGAATAATCCACAATAAAGTATAAATCTGTACTGGGATGCAGTTTGTTCAACCTTTCGATATACTAGATATGTTTTCTGGTACTGAGCCCAGAACGAGACATTCACTTTTCCCGAACTTCTGAAAAATATTCCGGTTGAAAAAGACTACAACACAATTTACACGGAGCAGATTCATCTTGCTTCTTTTGGAAAAACGTGACTGTTCCGAACGTCCACGTTTGTCACAACTCGGCAAATGTGGAATGTGCCCAGGAATTATGACCACTGAAATCCCGTTTTCCTCGTCCTGCCGCAGGGTTATGGAATTCGGTGGTTTATAAATCAAATATCGACGCTACATTATTTGCTAGAAAGACAGTATGAACATAGTCTTCTCATATTCTTAGAGTTCGTGATTTTAATGGAACTGCTTCGTAACCGATCGAACTGATATCATCGGTGTACCGTGGTGGGATTCCGTTGGCGTTTTGGGGAGTCAGCTTGTAGGTCACTGTCAGTACCAGTGGTCAGCGAGAATGGTATTGCTATTTGTGCCCTTCCTCTCCTCACATGATGGAAGCCAGCCACATCCGAATAACAGCGGTATATTTTCATAAAGGAAACTACTCACAAGGTTACTGAAAACTCTTTGACGGTCCACGACCGGTTTCGCCCTTCTTGGGGCTCATCAGGTAGGCGCAGTCTCCGAGTTTCCGTCAACCTTATGTTCTACTTGAACCCGTATTGGACTGTTTTCGAGAAGTACACTCATTTGCAAATTGGTTTCCTAATAAGCAAATAGTCTCCATGAATGCGAAGTGTAAGATGAACAAGGATTATATCCTCCCCCAAAAATGTGGGAGAAGCTTCCACTCGTATCCGAGATGCTCCAAATTAACTTTGAGGCTGCTATCCTTAAACTAAAAGTGCCCGAGCAAGGCTGCTTTCAGTTAGCACAGAACCAGTGTAGCGCAGTGTGCAACCTTGTGAGTAGCTTCCTTTATGAAAAGCTACTGCGATATCTCGAATATCGTTCCAAATGAATCATGAGGCGACCTGTGTGCAGCACATTCAGTTGTAGAATAGCATAAACGAGAGATTCAGTTGAGTCATTTGCAAATGAGTGTATTTCTCGAAAACAGCGGTATATATTGGTTGGAGTCAAATCACATGATCCAGCGGGCGTGGTCGAAATAGTAAGCATGAGAGAACCAACGAGCTCCCGGGCAACCATCCAACCCCGATTACTCATTGGGACAGTTTTCTCTATGAAGAAATACATTTGGATGCCCAGACTTGGGTCGATGACCACCAGAAAAGTTGTGGCTCCCTAAAAACATACTTTTTAGCCTATAATAATATTGACTTCTGAGTATTTTTAAATCCATTTTTCGTTCGTGCATACTCTCAGCTCGTCCAGGCGTGTGAATGAGAATCGCCTAACCAAGTCGATCATAACCCGATAAACCAGCCGATGCTTTCTCACTGGAAATAGCCACTGCCCAATCCAAGTGGTGTTCGCGCTTCCAGTTTTAATTCCGATCTTCCCACTGAGTGTTCGACAAATGTGTACATTGTAACGTGTATACTGGGCAAAAATACTTACCCTATTCTTCTCTCTTCGAAAAAGTAACTTTCTTCAGAAAGCTACCTCTTGGAAGGAGCGTTCTGCATCGTACTTCAGGGCTTGAAATGCCTTCTCATTTTTGCACGACAGCGTCAACAGCATTCAACAATAATTATCACATCAGTAGTGCTGAGCATTCATTATTTGTGTGCATCAAGGTATTTTACAACTAGATGGGTGAGTTGAGCGGAAAACGAAAAAGTGTCGCCTGTATGATTAACTAATCTAAACGGCTGGATCAAGTGAGAACCGTAAGGAACATATATATTCGTCTTCACGGATCTTAATCCTTTGCTACCTGTTTCCGAACATCCCAAAGAGAAAACAATTGATCTAAAGCTTCGATTTTCTTGGTTCAGGTGTGACCCAATCGATCGGCGAGCACATTCGAAAGCGTGTCTCTCACGGTACATATCAATGGGTTGTTATCGGCAGAGCCGCGAGCAGCAAGTTACTCCAGCCATCGGTGATGGACTTTTTCCGGATTTTTCAAAACAGACGATAAAACTATCAAAGTTTCGTAGAATTTTCTTTTTAAAAATTAGTATATTTAAGACAAGCTTTTCTGATGCACCAAAATTTCACGAGTAATTCAATAGTTGTGTCTATTTCTGTGGAGTGGTGTCGTTTCCGTTCATCCAAATGCCTAGTTAAACCACCCTAGATGGTACACATACGTAATTCATGCTCATTGCGATCCAACTGTCCTCATTCAGGGTGCATCACAAGTGATTTGCACGTGCATGATACAAGTTCACAACTGTTGTTTCACGCGGCTTGCAACCTTAAATCTGAGTAGTACGCCACAGCACACAATCCGACTTTGTGAAGAGTGGCGGTTAAAGTACGTTTCATCCTGACCGGGCTGCGTGTACTGCTGCGTTTGCGAGGTGAAGTATGTGGTCTTCTTGTCGATATCGATTGTTCCACTGGAGATTTTATTCATTACTATTTGCAGACAACTTGACTTTAATCATGTACTTTTCTTTCTTGAGGTGCCTTAATGAAAAAATTTCTGAGCAAGGCTTCGCTTTTGACGGAAACGTTCCTTCAGGATAAACAGACAGCGAACCATACATCACAACTGGTGAGCACAGAATAAACAAACCACCGAGGAATGCAGGCACTAATCAGACTCGGTGAGACATGCACTAAACCTGGGATGTGGAATACATTTGGAAAATGTCGAAGTTTTGGGGCGGGGACTGTCATTCACACCACAGCGAGTGATGACGAGGCAATGGAACTTGCCAATAATCGAGCGCAAATGACTGACAATTATGAGAAGCACTGTCTCAGATAAGCCGAACTGACACGTGACGGTGTGTGGTTATCAATAAACAGAGTAACTCACAAACGGGGTAGAAAACGGACTTCGGTCACGGTTCGCATAATCTCTCTTCCTTAGATAGCTGACATAACGCTAGTCCATCCACACGGACGGACAGAAGTTGTAAACGGCACTCCGGAGGGATCTTCAAGTGCAGGGAACCGGAAGAACTAGATCCTAGATTCAAATTCATGTAAGTTTATACAAACCCATTAGTCCTGAAATGTGCTGACCAACCCTAACAAACGAAATCCCTCGGCCAACCCCCATCAAAAGCACATCCTGCTGATTAGCTCTTCTTCTTCCGCAAAACTCGACCAATCTTGTAACTTAGTCACTTGACCTGACTAAATCTTTTTGTCAAAAGTGCAGTACTACTTGGCAATGAATCTGCAGACCATTTTGCAAACTTCTCGGAAAACGAGGATTTTTCAGTTGGTTGGAAGCGTTTCCCAACTGATTGTGTTGTAACAAGTTTTTAAAAGGGTCTAATGACCATCCGATGTTAACCAGCCACCCAATACTCTCGGCAGAACTGCAGAGAATGAGGTCTGCATCATGCCGATAAAGGGATGGTTCGTCGCAGCACACATGAGGCTATGTATGCACATCTGTGACCGTAGAGAAAGCCGTCGTTTGTGAATGGTTATCCTCCTCAGATGTGAAATGCACATAAATGACGATACCCTGAGGTTGTAATTAGGAGATAACCCGTCAACCCGCTTAAGGAAGAAGCCAAGTCGAGCACAGGAACAGGTCTATTTTGCCGCGAAATAAGGCGGTTTACATACATCGGAAAAAATGGCATGAATTGGCTGAGACTTTCTCTTCAACCGAATAACCAATAGGAACCAACAGTTATGCACGATCGGGCAGAAAAATAACGAAATGCAACGACCAATAGGAGTCACACGTGAGAGCGGAACGAGGATAAATCAATAGGGACTCAGCACGATGCAATCTGGTGGCTGAACGTGTGGTGACGACAAATATAAGCAGAATGTGAGAATTGACCAGAAACGATCAGTCCGTAGTTAAGACGAAATTTTAGACAATTAATAGTTCCGTTCTGGTAACAGTAATTAGGTTAGGTCATCGCCTTGTGATTTGGGACCTGGATAACAACAAAGCTGAGGAGTTCCAGAATGAATAAGACGGCCGCCTGCCACCTTAATAAGTTTGCTGAATAAAATCTTATACGCAGTTAAACTAGGGGTACACTGGTTCTCACTTCTTTTGCAATGGGTTCACACGTCAACTCCTAGAAATGGACAGTTGGTCTTTTGTCGGAAGAGCAGTGTCTATCCAGCATTCCAAGTAGCCCGTCCTTATAAACATAAGCATTGAGATGTGGCCTGTGTGAGCAGCCAAAGTGAGATGCCTTCAGGTTTTCGGAAACCGTTGTATCAGAATCACACCTCATATGAACTGGTGCCGGGTAATCTGTAACGAGAAAATGAGTGATTGGTTGTGCACCGAGAACTTCAATCAAAGAATGTGACAAGCACCAAACCATCATTCTGTTTCTCAACTACTAATATTACTCAAGGAACTGGCTCACAAATGATGCGACAGTTTCAGTTCAGTCAGTGATAGAAGTGTGGGTTTCCGGGACTCATCATGCGCTATCCCGTTTCGCTGGCATAGCATTACCTCCCCACAGACTCATAGAAACAGATAGGACGTTCCTGTGGACCAGACAACGCCGCGAAGCCTTTGAAATGATAAAGACTAGGTATCACACGTTTTTGGCTTTTCGAGAAAAGACCTCACCAGCTAGCCCATTCACATTGGCTACAACCGACAGCGACGCCACCACAGGAGCCGCAGTATCACGAACACAAAATGTCCGGGAGGTTGTCGTAAGCTGAAGTAGGTAAACGAGAAATTCGATGTCCCACTACCTCTTACTTATTACCTTCAGTATTTTGGGTCATACTTCCTGTGCCAGGCCTTTCCTAGTCCAAACAACCATCATTCCTTTCGAAACATCAAGGAAGACAACTACACTGAGTGCAGGATTATCCTCAATCCATCTGAGTGTCGTCGGAAAGGGATTTCATTGTTCGTATTCATTTACTAGTCACCCTCCCTTTCAATATACCAAAAGTCACCGTTTTGCGCAAAACACATACCACCCCCTCAATTAATCTTGATCCAACCAACCAACGTTCGGTGACCTGAAAAAATCAACGGTTGTTAGTCCCTTTCTTTCTCTCTTTCTCAAATGATCCTACCTTTTCGCCCCGTATGCTGCCTTGGATTCATTTGCAACCTCGCCTGTGACATGCACCTCCCACACGCTTCTTTATCCCCTTTAACAAGTCCGCTAATCAGTCTTGTGATCGGGTGTGTCCCACGAACTGGTTGTTAAGTTCCAGATAGTACTATTAGTATTTGCCTGCTGCATCAGTCTTGGCTGGGGTCGAGATGGACCAAGCGGTTAGAACACGAATTTACTGACCGGAAGGTCCGTGGTTTGAACCCGACCTCTACCTCTCGACTTCCCCTGTCTAGGCTTGGGCAACCTGGCAGCATCTCAGCCCTCGTGCCTCCTTCGTGCGGCATGAAAGCTAGACACCGAAAGGGTGCTGCAGCTGCAGCACCCTTTCGGTGCTCAGCTAGTATCACTTGTATAATCCTTCCTCAGTCGAATGCTTCTACTTGATCTGTCCTCACGAATTTAACCACAAACTACATATCCTTTGGTTAACTATTGTTCTTTGTGTTCTCATCTTTCGATTCATCCCGGATAAGAAGCTCTGTAAAAATAAATGACAACACGGAACCTCGGTGACAGCGTAGCGATCACAGCAAGGACGCTGTCCAGTTATGTCTGATACCA